TTTAAATATCGTCGACTGTGAGTCAGTTTATCTCGGTTCCCTTAAGTAATATCAGAAAACGGTCAAGTTGAAAACAGTTGGAAATTTCATAACAAACATTTTATCAGTTGACATTTTTCTGATATTTCTTTAAGGCACTGACATAATTTAGCTCAAAATGAAACACCAACTACTCGAAATTCAAAACGTCGAGGAGTTGAACAGGAAATTCGAAATCTTGAAAATTCTTTAAAATTATGTATTTTTTTAGGTCACTACTCCATTGTGATGTTAACTCTTCGATTACGGCTTCCATCAACCCATCGTCTTCAATCCTTCGACCGCGTTAATCTTCTTCATTCTCCGATTCTCCACTGGCCATCTTAATTGTTCCCGATCCTTCCATCCATTTCTTTAGCTTGTTTCGTTCATGATCGTTCCTCTCATCCATCTTACCATTTTCAATTTTTCTAACCTTCCAATTCCCCTGAATTTACCTTCAATAAAAATTTCAGCAGTAATATATTTATAAGTGAGATAATTAACCTCAAAATTGACAGTGTCCCCATCTATTACAGTGTTTACGGTAACTGTTAAGACACATTCTCTGGCACAACCGAAAATAGTGCTGTACGTAAAAATTCAAACTTGTTTTTTTTGCATTCATTTTATATATCATGAAAGTTAGGACATTTTTAAGATAAAGAATGTATATTTGGTTCTGACCCAATAAGTACGGTCCAAACGGTGACCAACTGTAGTCAAAAAATGAAAATTTTTCTGGATGGAGATAATGATTAGATTCAACTCAGAATGGATTATTTTTGCTATTTTGAGCATTCTTCGTATTGAGACAAAAATTCTGACTCGTTTCCTTTCAGCTGAAAAATTTCATTTTTGTTCCAATTTTGAAAAAAAAACACTGAAAATCCATCGTCCCGATAAAGTTTAGTGTTACGACAAGAGTCGTATAAATAATAATATTTGCATGACCCAGTGACCTAGTTTCTATGTAACCCCCTTCATGCCACGTGGCTCGTTGCCACGTGCACTTCCTGTCTCTTGTCTTGTCTTCAGCTAATCGGGACTTCCCGTGTCACCCGGTCTTCTATCTAAACCTTGTCCCCGTCTACATATTCCTATAATATTCTCTGATAATTACCGGCTATAATAAATCTTCTAAATATATAACACTGGCGATCAGTATCTGAAAATGGACGAAAAGTCACTCCAAGAATTCATGCGGTTTCAAAGAGAATTGATGACTCAACAGCAAAACGCGTTCATAGAGATCATCACCAAACTGGAAAAGAAGGAGGAAACCAAGGACAACACCGCCGTCGTCAACTCCCTCAATGCTCGAATCACTCCGTTCGCCTACAACACAGATGAAGGAGAAACTTTTGACCGATGGTACTCAAGGTATGAAGACATTATTAAGAAAGATGGTGCTGCGCTGGAAGATGAAGAAATGGCCCGCTTCATCGTGTCAAAATTGGAGAGGAAGGAATCCGAGCAATTCCGAAACCACCTGCTGCCAAAATCCCCATCAGAAGTGAAACTCGAGGACACCATCAAGACACTAAAAAAACTCTTCAATGAATCCAAATCCATCACCAGAATGAGGTATGAACTTTTGACGATTAAATTTGACGGAGTAGACCGGAAGGAATACACTGGAAACATCAAAAGATTGTTCAACGTGGCACAGTGGAAAGAGATGTCGGAAGATCAAGCACAGTGTCTCCTTTGGACCATTGGACTACAATCCAGCCAACACACCGAAACCCGACTTCGTGCTCTTCGTGAAATGGAAGCCAATCCAAAGATCACTCTGACTGAACTGCCCGATCGACTAGACCACGTCATCGCAATGAAAGCCGACGCCGACTTCATTGGAGGAGCCAAATCCAGTGTTAACTTCATCAAGAACAAGAAGCAACATGTCCAGCAACCGTTCAAACCGAAACCGTCCAACCAAAATCCTCAGAAGTCAGATGACAAAAAGAAGCCACCACCAACACCATGCTGTTATTGTGGAGATATGCATTGGAATCGTGATTGTAAGCAGAAGAAGTCGCTCGTCTGCCACCAATGCCATAAAACCGGTCATGTTGCCAAAATGTGTCGTCAGAAGAATTCCCAATCCAACAACGCAGTTTTCATTGCCGAATCATCTGCTGGAGCCAAGAATCGCATCTACACTGAAGTCTTAATTGATGGAACACCGATCCGTATGGTCTTGGACACTGGAGCCGAAGTCACTCTTCTCAACAAATCGGATTGGGTCAAGATGAACAAGCCGACGCTGTCACCACCAACACTCAACCTCCGTACTGCGACCAACAAACCAATCGACGTCAAGGGACAGTTCCAGTGCAAATTCGTGCTCAATGGTCAAAATGGTTCGGGATCATGCCACGTCACCGACACTGCATCACTTCTTGGTATGGATTGGATATCTCAAGATAAGTCACTTTTTGAACATTTGGTTCGCGGATCCATCAATGCTGTCAAGTCTTCCGAAGCTCCAGAAGTCATGGCCAAGCACCGTATCCAACTCCAGAAGCGTCTCGAGACCGAGTTCCCAGATGTGTTCAAAGCAGGACTTGGAAGATGCACAAAGACCAAAGCTCAACTCCACTTGAAGCCGGATGCCAAGCCGACATTCCGGAAAGCCAGACCAGTTCCAATCGCAGTTCTTCCAAAAGTGAGTCAAGAGATAAATCGTCTAGTCGAAGAAGGTTTCATCACTCCCACAAACTACTCCGATTTTGCTGCTCCGATCGTTGTCGTGCAGAAGAAGGATGGTTCGATTCGGATGTGCGCCGACTACTCCACTGGCTTGAACGATTCGCTACAGATGCACCAACATCCACTTCCAACGGCCGAAGATGTCTTCTCGAAGCTGAACGGTGGCAACTACTTCACTCAAGTCGATCTGGCCGAAGCATATCTGCAAGTTGAAATAGAATCTACTATCTTGTGTTCGTTGATGCCTTCTCAAAATGGCCGGAAATCCTGCCGACTCGGACCATCACTGCATCAAGAACGATCGAGCTGCTCACTCCAATCTTCGCGAGGTACGGTAATCCACAGACGCTCGTTTCTGACAATGGCACGCAGTTCGTTTCATCGACATTCCAACAGTTCTGTGCGTCAAGAGGTATCAAACATCTACGCTCTCCTCCATTCCATCCACAGAGCAATGGACAAGCTGAGAGATTCGTAGACACCTTCAAACGAGCACTGGTAAAATTGAAGAGGGAGGAGACAACACAAGAAGCTCTACAAACGTTCCTCATGGCGTATCGATCGACTCCATGTGCCAGCTCACCAGGCCAATTGTCACCAGCTGAGAACTTTCTGAAAAGAAAAATGAGAACGATTATGGATCTAATGTTGCCAACTCACCTTCCAATCGATACATCATCAAAATCGGACAAAATGAAGCAACAGTTCGATCGTCATCATGGTGCCAAATGGAGATGCTATTCAGTTGGAGATCCCGTTTTCGTCAAGGACTACCGTTCACCGAACACTTGGCTGCCAGGAATTGTGATTGCTCGTTCGGGATCAGTCAAATACACCGTTCGTTGCAATGGACTCGAATGGATTCGCCATGCCAATCAACTCCGACGTCGTGATCATCTGCCATCGTCTTCACATCTTCTGGATTGCTTCGATTTGCCAACAACTCCTCCACCGCCTTCTGATGCCTTCATTTTGCCAACGTCTCCGTCGTTGGATTGTTTCCCGCCTTCGCCTTGCCAAGATGTGCCAAGTACAACTACAACCGCTTTGCTGCCAAGAACAACTACACTCCCGCCAAGTACAACTACTGTAACCGGTTCATCGTCAAGTCTGATGCCTGCACCGCAAGCCGCCGCCCCGACACTTCGCCGGTCTTCACGTACAGTAAGAGCCCCAGCACAATTGGAGATGGACCCGAGTCGGTCCACATACCGCTAGAGCTCAATGCTAATCGAGGGAGATGTTACGACAAGACCATGACCCAGTGACCTAGTTTCTATGTAACCCCCTTCATGCCACGTGGCTCGTTGCCACGTGCACTTCCTGTCTCTTGTCTTGTCTTCAGCTAATCGGGACTTCCCGTGTCACCCGGTCTTCTATCTAAACCTTGTCCCCGTCTACATATTCCTATAATATTCTCTGATAATTACCGGCTATAATAAATCTTCTAAATATATAACATTTAGCATTAGCTGAAAAAAAGATAGCATCAGATTCGAATTTAGAGGGCAAAATAACACTAGAAAACATTTGTTCCAGGTTGAATATCCTGAGCAAACAGCAAGATTTAGACCGAAAAGTGCCCAAAAACGAGGTTTCACCAAGTGGTACCAGGTGGTAATAATAAAGTATTGTTGATGGCTAGTCTTCTGGCAAAGTTTCAAAACTCGTTCTCATCGTCTTCAGGCATTTTTGCAACTCTCGAATGGTTCAGTTCATTTTATTTGAAAATCAATTATTCAGAAACGGAACAGAATAAAAACGCATTGTTCAAAAATTAAAAAAAACCGCATTCCAATTTTCAAGTTTCTAAATTTCTCTTCTAAAAATCATAAAATTAAAAAAAAAACCAACAATTTTGAAATTAAGGAATGGTTTAGTTCATATTATTAAAAAATAATTCATTTGAAAACGGAACAGTATGAAAACGCAGTGTGCAAAAATAAAAAAATCGCATTCCAATTTTCAAATTTCTGAATTTCTTTTCTAAAAATCATAAAATTCAAAAAAACAAACAATTTTGAAATGAAGGAATGGGGTAGTTCATTTTATTAAAAAATAATTCATTTGAAAAC